GGGGACCTGCTGAGAGAGTTGGGGCTGTTCAGCCTGGAGAAGAGAAGGCTCTGGGGGGACCTTATTGTGGCCTTCCAGTTCCTGAAGGGGGCCTGCAGGAAAGCTGGGGAGGGGCTTCTTACAAGGGCAGGTAGTGATAGAATGAGGTGTAATAGATTTAACCTGGAAGGGGATAGATTTAGGTTAGACATTATGAAGAAATTCTTCACTGTGAGGGTGGTGAGACACTGGCACAGGTTGCCCAGGGAAGCTGTGGATGCCCCCTCCCTGGCAGTGTTCAAGGCCAGGTTGGACAGGGCTTTGGGCAGCCTGGTCTGGTGGGAGGTGTCCCTGCCCATGGCAGGGGTTGGACTGGGTGATCTTTAAGGTCCCTTCCAACCCAAACCATTCTATCGTTCTATGAATTAGTGCAATCATGATGTTTGTCAGGGATGTCAGTTTAATCAACTCCTGATGACAATATTTCTGAAACCCTTCATTCTGGAATGAAAGTGTGCTACTCAGTCAAAGAAGGTGCTTCAGCCTTACTGAAACAAAACCTCTCCCCACTTCCAATTCAGCACAGAACACAGTGTACAACCCAACTGGCTTTTACAGCAGTTAATTATTGATTTTTGGAACATGACAACAAAAAAAACTCCACCAAATCCCACATGAAATCAACCCCACAAATATATCCATTCAGCCACAGCCATGATAAGTGGTTTCGTGAAAACCAAGGAATACACAGCTTTTAGAAGAGAGGCCTCTAGAGCAAGTCTGACCACAATGCCAGCCCTTCAGAGAGCAAGAGAGATCACTGAACTCTTATCAAGGTTTCCCCTGAGATACCGTACCTCATACATCTCCCGAAACATTTTTCTTCATTACTGAAATACAAAACCTCATGCTTCCTGAGCTTAAGTAGATATGAAGAATAACATTACATTAAATTGATTCTATTAAGGAAAAGAAAATACGCTGTATTTAAGAGGAAATCAGAGGTGTGCAAGCTTTAAATCTTCAACTAAAATAGCAGCTGTGTTATACTTCATAAGCGATAGAGTCTAATTTTCCAGGGTATTACAAATTCTAATCGTGAATTCCCCTGCCCTTAGTACTGTTTAACTGGGTCACAGAAAATGTCGTGAGCAATTCAGTTTGATATTCAAAACAATTCTTGCACTTGCTTGTGATAAACTGATGCATTAGACAAAGTACGACTGGCTCACGCCTCTGATGTTGGTCAGAAGGCTGAACAGTACCAGCACACCACCCTTCTGCAGAGAAGTTTGGGTCTATGAAGTGTGTCGTAACTGAAAAGAAAAACGTTTTGTGCTCCCAGTTAAAAATTCTGAAATGAACACTTGCTTCACGACCTCAGCTACCGATCCCTAAAAACTCCTACCATTTTTGGAAACATGCCGAAATGTAACAATACAGCCAGCCACAGCTCAATTACACCAGCATGTATGAATCCAGTACGTTAATGAAGTTAGCTCAACACACTGCTGAATACCTGTCGTGTCTGCTTCTGATGACTCCTAGAAGCTGAAAACGTAAAAAGCATTTACTGTCCCAACACACACACACACAGAACTTTTCAGCAATATCAAAGAAGAGCTATCTCCCTCAGTATTAAAAACTGTTCTTCACTAAATGAGTAGCCAACTAAATTGCGGAGGTTTAATTACGAGATCCAAGAGAACCACCGTGCAGGCGGCTGATGCCTCCTCTTTGAACACTGAGCATATCGCTAACTTTTAATCCTCCAGAAGAGCTCACACCAACAGAGCACTGTTACCTGCTTGCTGCTGTGCTTTAGCAGCTGCCTTAAAGGCCAGCCCACTTCTCCACGGCCTCCCTCTTCTGCACACAGCAATCTGCTCTTAGCAGAGCTCTGTCTCTCTGGCAGAACATCTGTTAAATGAAATTACTTATTTCATAAGCTAAACATCAAGAGTTCCTAAGCAGGACTTCACTGCAGAGTGCTTTTAGGAAACATGCGGTACATGGATAGTGAAAGGCTAATCTGAAAGCCCCAAAGACTTTCTTTCTCATCAACAGGTAAGTGGGGGGGAGAAGGTGGACAAAGCATCAAGACACCCCTATATGGGAAGGTGCGTAACAGATGATGCCAATGATCCTACATGACAGACTCTCGCTTCCAGATGAAGTTCCCGTAGATGTCAAATGGACCTTTCCCATGCACTTGCCTGCAGATCTATAGGCAGCTCAGGTACAGTGGAACAAGCTGCCCTGGGACAGGGGCAAGTTTGTCTGCCCCTGGCCCCTCTGAAGCTGTTGATAAGAATAAAGTGGCAGATCCTGTGGCAGGGACCAGTCTTTCCAGGAACAGAACTGAGACTTTCCTAAAACACTAACAACTTACTTGGCATCTGGCTTGTCTCAAATTCAAATTTTTGTTCAGAGTCATAGAAGGAGTGGTAGCTTTTACCGTCCTCAGAGAACACCCACCACCTCTCATAAGAATACATGGAGTTCAGTTTCTTTAATCCTGTTATAAACCAATGGCAGATGGACTTTCACCTGCTCTGTGGGAAATGTATGCTGTCTTCAACACCTTGAAACAAAGACCTCTTGTTCAACTCGCAAATCAACGGAAAAATCAAGGTTAGTGCTTAATCTTTGACTAGTTAAATAAACCAAAAGAAGGAAAGACAAGTTAACTCACAGAGGTACATTTTGAAAAATGCCATGTAGAGATTAAGAGTAGATGTGATCAGTAAAAGCCTACAGAAATACCATAATAAGCCAAAGGTGCGGGCCTGTGAAAAGCACTCTTTAGGTGCACATATATATGTATACTTTCCCCTAAAATCCGAAAATCAACAAGACTTGGTGAAAGACCCATCTGCATTTATCAAGTGGCATCTACAGAAAGTATCACTGTCCCTAAACATGTACTGGGAAAGCAGCAGGACATAGAGATCACCAAACTGGCATGAGAACTAGACTAAAACAAGAAACCCAAACCCTAGAGTTTAAATACATTTTTCCTGTCTGTTTTGGAGCCTTCTGGTGAAGCACTCACTTTTTTTTTTCTTACTTTTTTGTTTTTAAAACCACTAAACAAAAGCAGATATTCTTATGTTCTCACTTAGCTCCCACTTGAGACTGAGGAGAAAAAATGTGGCAATACTCAGCTGCAAGAGCTGGCAACTTCATACCAATTGTTTGCTTGTGGTAGCTAAAATGCAAGCTTTTGTACCTCAGTTCCCAACTTTCAGGGTATTGGCACCATTGCAAATCTGAACTGCAGTTTTCTTCAAGTGCCTCAGTCCACACAACCACCTCTTCTTCCAGCAGGTGGACATACAAATACAAAGAGACTTTTCAGATTAAAAAACCCCTGCTGTGCTCTACAACCCTGCAAAGAAATGGGAAGAACCAAAATTTATAGTACTCGGATCTCACTCCTCTATCGTCGCTTATCTTCACTAACAAGCGTGTAAAGTTCTAATAGATTAAAACACTATTGAGCGCCATGCTTGGTGAAGCACGACTTGACAACACCAAGTGAAACTGATGTCATCAGTTAGGATGTTAAGTGCAAAACTAACAAAACGTACTGCCAAAACAACTTCTTTGTTACTAAAAGAACACCCAACAAGCCACACAGATAAAACACTAGAAAACAAAACATCCAGGTAAGTCAGCTAAGCACAGACCTCTCTGAGAGCACCTGACTAGTAACATTTGTCTGCCTTAGAACAAACTTAACAGAACTTTTGATGTCACACATAATTCAGTTCCTTCAAGTTTAGGCAAAAAAGTGCCAGACGGAGCTACAACAGTTCCTCACTGTAGGAAAAGCAGGAGCACTCAGGCATCAGACCTCGAAGGATCCGGCTGAAGGGGGCAAGCAGTTATAAATGCAACAGCCACTAGGAAATTACTCAATTGGAGCTCATGTCCTAAAGTCCTGACATGGATCTGCCACTTACAGCCTTCCTTGGTTTTAATGGCTCGATACTCTTTGCCATCTTTCTCAGCGTTAAAACTACATTACGTGCATTTCACAGGAGGAGAAAATGACCCAGAGGTTGTCTGACTTTCCAGCTGTAACAATGCCAATGAGTGACAGACCCAGCATTTTGAATGAAGCACTCTCAGATTTCCAACCTCTGTCCACAAGCACAGGTCCTCTACTAGACCATGCCTGCAGTTTATTCCTTTGTGCTACCCTGCAAGCATGTTTTAACAAAAATCACGCTGAAGAAATGCATGCTACCACCACATCCTCTGGACCGCAGCACAGACTGCAATCCCAGGCTTTGCTGTGCGTGTGGATAATTCTGAGTGGCTTGTGCACTGACTCACAATCAAGAAATGGCCTAAGCTCTTACCAAACTATTAGATAACGAAAGAAGAAAGATACAAAGCGGGTTCCACCGCCAAAAGATGACTCACAGATCATCTGCGGTACTCAGTCATTCTGAATTAGGGGACAAGCGGATTTGGACCCAAAGGATGTTTCAAGTTCCTTGGTACACTGGATGATGACAGATAAACCCAACACCCTGCATCCTGTTTTATTTATCACTGCAGTCTAACTATCTTGTAGATTTGGCAGGTTTTCTAGAGTTCTGTGTTTTCTTTTAGATACTACTCTGTGTAAGCATTCTTTAAATACCAGAGCAGGGGAAGGCGTAGTCCTCTTCAGAAAAGAGATACAGCAAAGCAGAACACAATACAGGGCATCTCACGACAGGCATGGGAGGATACTAGGTCACTAAATACTCAAACATTTGACAGCACTGTAAATGTATGTGGCATGGCAGTAGATAAGAGAAAAAAATGTGGCTGTCTTCCCAGTGACCTTATGAACTGACAGATGGGACAGCAGTTCACAGTTTCATACTTGGCTTTTCCTAACATGGATGTGGGGAGGTGGAAGAGGGGATGAGCTTCCCAAAAGAATCTGAAGAGATCTGAAGGGCAACACTCTGAGTGCCATTCGATGCACAAAGGGTACAACTGGTCATCCCCCCAAAAATCAAATTCCTAAGTTATCCCAGCACTTCTTAACCTCCTACACATGAGAAGTCTGCATTTTGCTGTGATTCTCTGGTTAAAATTCTTTAGTCATCATCTGCTCAGATACCTTACTCTGCAGGATGGCATCGCCCAACGGCACTGCCGGGTGCTCGCTCACCAGTGTCTGAACCAGGCACCATGAGGAAGCTAGCGCAGGAGCTGCACTGTTCAGAAGACTCAATCTTCCCCTCAGACTTTGGCAAGCTGGTCTCTGTTAACTCCACATCTGCTGCAAGGAGATGGCAGCAAGGTTTCCCCAGCTCCAGCTTGCTCTCAGGCCAGTGACCTTAAAGAAATATGGGTCCTCACAGATGATGATACCAGGGGCTATATGAATATGTAAAACTGGAAGAAGTATGGGAGAAGCACTTGCTAGAGACAGCACAGTAGTATGACATCAGAATTCCAACTATTTTTCATGCTGCTAAGAAGTAACTCCTTTTTCTCCAAAAGGCCAGAGGAAATGTGCTGGATTACTACTGGGAATATAAACGCATTTTCAAAGACAACTAGGTATCCGTCCCAGAGGCCATTCCCCATTTTGCATCCCTATTCTTTGACATCTCCCTAATACAGCGGTCAGCCTGGGCTGATAGCCAGTGTTCTTCCATTACAAGCTGAGCAATCTCATCCATGGCTGAGTAACCAAGTGTAGCAAGTGCAGGAATAAGAAAATGAAAGGGCCTGTTAGAGTACGGTTTCTTGAATGAAACGATACACTGATGATGGCTCTCAATTCCAAGACTTGATGCCCATTTAGGTTTGGTTGTCAGAATGTGCTGGAAATGGCCAGTTCAATTTTATCACACACTTCCCAGCAGGATCCCCGATACTCTGTTTTTAACCAGCACTCTGTAAGAGGCCTTGTTCACCGCTTTACCTTAATTCTGAAAACTTTAATTGAGTTGGGCACTTGCATGAAGTCTGAAGCTGACAGCTTGATTGCTGCCACCACCTCTTATTTCCTCCAAGACGAGAAGCAGAATCTATCTGCAGCTCATTACCCAGTTCTTCACATTGCCTCTCAGTTAACTGCCCCATGCAGAGGACATTAGAAAGCAGAGCCTAAACACAGGTTTCTGGGCTGTGGCAAGCATAAACAGCATTCTCTACAGGGGCTTCTACCACACTGTCTTTGGGACTTCTCTGAACTTTCAGTAGAGAGACTACAGCCGGGTTAGTATATGGTAACGCAGCACTAGAAATGTTGAGAACATGGACAAGACACACAGTTGTACCAGCTCCAATATTTGGAGCCTTAACTAGTAACTTAAAAATGCGCTTTTTGAATGCAGTCTACAACCAAAGGTAAACTATAAATTTATCTTTTTTCATTTACAAGTCAAAGGAAACTACTGGACGTGCAAAGCGGCTCAGCTTTATGGCTGGTTGAAGATAAAGATGTGAACTCCGCTTTGTACTCCTGCTGCTGGGCTGCAGAAATGAAGTTTCTGTTCACAAGCTTCCACTGCTACTCTTTGAACTGCCCTAACTCTGGCACGGTTTTCAAAAGACAGAGACATAGGCAGCAGTCTTAGAAATAAGAGATACTTGAGCCTGGAAGTTGCATCTGGAGTGGAAACCCCTCATGTTTAAGTAGAAAGAAGGGAAAGTCCTGGAGTCTTTTGCCAATGAGCAATCTCCACAGCTGCACTTGTGATGTTGGAGGCATCAGTCAGGGAACAAGGCCTCCAACCTCTTTATCAGACACGGACTGGATTGTATGGGAAACAAGTCAGCAACAGTCTCCTCGGTTAACACAAGGAAGGCGAAAAGCCTAAGTGTCTAGGAGGCAGAGCTCCCAGACTGTAACCCTCCACCATCCACCCTCCAGGCAGGCTGCCACATCTTTAAGCCGCACTGCCAGGAAGCTGGGAAGTCAAGTTAATAAGAAGCCAGACAGCTTTTCAATGAAATATCTTGCTAAAACTAGAACACTTCTGCAACTTTGCAGAGGATGCTAAATCGTCACACACAGAACATCCTCGCAAGGGAAGCTCCTCCTGAGACCACTGGTACACTCAGTAAGTCCTAGACAGTTAGTCAAGGAGACATGGAGATTTCTCTCACTAGAACATACTTTTTAAAAGGCAAAATAAAATCAAGAAATTAAAATCACTTGAGATTAGCACTGCTCTAAAAAATGAGTCCATACCATCTTTGCTCCCAAATTACACGGTTACTTTAAGCACCATGGCTAAATTCAGCATATATTCTTACCAGCAATAAGCTATTAATATCAGACATGAACTGATATGCTTTGCCCTGCACAACAGACAATGTTTTATTTCCCATTTAAAAATACTTATTAGCTTGTAATGCAGAAAATTCTAAGAGTTTTAAAGCGTTCATAAAGTGTCAGCAAAATGGCAATACAACTAATCAGGAGCAGCAAAAAAGGAAACAAGATTAAGATAGTTCAATTTAATTTCCTAGAAAATAATGTGCCACCAGCTGTGTAAACTTTCTTGTAGCTAAAACAAATATTCTGAAAATAAGCAGGCAGCTCATTTACACTGTGGCATCTTTCCTCAGCAGTCCAGCCTCACGAGGAAGCCCTCGAGTTGTCTCTTCGACTGTACAAAGGCTTTAAAGACAGCCATGTAACAAACTGATTTGATAAGCGGGATTTTGAGTGATCTTTCATTTTTATGTTGAGGTCGTTAACTCTGAGCTCCTGCTGACACAGCTCGCACTCCTGCCACATATACTATGTGCTCCCAGAAAGAAACAAATAACCAGCACAGCACGCACTATTCTTCTGACATACCAGACGAGTGACATGCAGACTTTAGCAGCTGGACTCCAGCTTTGTCTCCTGAAGAGCGAGATGAGGGCCTACCTGCTGATTCCAGTAACAGGCACCGTGCATCCTGTAGAGTTTCCTCTTCTGGAAACTATGAAGTGGCCTTGTTCGGGCAGAAGTGCTCACATTAGCCACGGAGAGAGATCTTAGCCTTGTCCTGTCTCTTCTCCTTTTCTTGATGTGCTGATGATCAAGCAACCAGCTGCTTGAGGAGGATATCTCCCTGTTGTCTGAAGCTCTGCAATTTCATGATTAACGGGGGGAGGAAACACTAAAAGTTAAATACATCCCACATGCACAGGCCAAGATTTCATACACTGATTAGCATTAGCTGTATAATTGTAAGAAAATTTTATAAATACTAAAATGTTTCAGCAGACTGTTTCAGCAAACCATGTACATGCTTTCTTTGCTCTTTGATTAATTCTATGTTAAGTCATGAAAGGAAGTTTGTCGTTCTTCACTTTTCTGCTCATGGAAACAAATGTCAAAATGAAGTTACGCCCTCAGACATACACTGGTTTCCAAATTCTAGAACTCTCTAACACTTCTCACACCTATGAGTTTTAAGTTACAATTAATATTTTCCTACAAACTTACATTCAAGACAGCAGTCACGCTAACACAAAGGAGCTCTAGAGTCCTGCCCTAGTACTTGTAGGCCTTTCTAGTTTTGCTCAAGAACTGAAACTTCAGTAAAGCTTTACAAACCAGTGTCCATTCAGCACAGAGGCTGCAACTCACTGTGAAGCATTTATATCAAAATTAGGAACTCTGCACGCTTAGTTTAACCAACACAAGGCCATTAAACTTCACTTTCAGGGACAGGCCAATAGAATTCTTCAATAAACCCTTAGCCCAGCCTGGGGGCAGCTCCTGGGGAGGAGGGAAAACCTGACCTGTCTGTCTTTAAGATCTAGAAGCTGGTTAGACCCAGATTATTTGGAAGAACGCACGCTCAGCTCCAGTCACAATGTGACAGGGTCTACATGGACACATGGAACACCTGATTTCAACATTAAATCTCAATCTTACCTGCATTTCCCCACGTCTATCCCTTTCAAATCCTACTCAGTGTTATAGTGTTATCCCTCCACAACCTTACCTTCATGCACACTTGCTGTGCTCATATCCCTAGGTAATTCTATATGCAATCACTAAAGTCATGTGAAAACATAGGGCCGAGAGCAGTAGAAAACTCTATATATGTGTGTGTAACAAACTTGGATCACTCTCACCAATCTACAACCTGGCTACTCACCAGAACAAGGAACACTCCAAGGTAAAAATTCAATGGCTCAATGGGAATAACGCCCTTCACTTGTATAGGTATCCTGATTTTATTTTGTTGCTGTAGCAACATCTTCCTGAAAGGCTGAAGACTTGCTGCAAAAAGCACTTAAGTATGCATTTATTTTTACAACATCGAAGACCTTGACTGCAAATCTAAACTGCCCGAGAAGTGCAAGTATACGAGATACACTGGCCTTGGTTCATAACAGGTCATCTATCTGCACAAATTATTATTTTCTCTTTGAACTTTATCTGGCAAGTCACAGACTTATTAGTAAAGTTATAACACCAAGCAAAACATGAAAATGAATTTATTACAAGGCCATTTATCAATCTTCTCTGACAAGCAGTATTCTTCTATTTTTATTAAACAGAAGCAACTGTTAGGAAAGTGTGATTAAACACCACCCCGTGCTGTGCTGATGTGGTAACAAGGCTTTATGGGCTGCCCTTGTGACACATCAGAACAATCCCAATAAGCAACACAAACACAATGAAAAAGATGTGCTAATGAACAGAAGGATGGTACTAAGCATTTAAAGGAACATACAAGTAAGTGCCAAGAAAAAGCTCAAAATACTGAAGCGTGACATTCATAATGCTAACACGGTCTCTTTAAGGCTTGAGAAAGAAATACAGTGTTTAAAGTCCATGCAAAAAAATTTCTTAAAAAACTTTCTCAGAATCCTCAAAAACATTTTCTCTGTAATTATCTGCCTCAAAGTCAGACGGTGCCAAGCCCAACTTCTGGACTTCCACATACCTCCCTCTTGTACGAAAGGCAACTTGGACAGAAAAAGCAGAACAAAAGGCTCCTCAGTCTGGCTCCTCAACTTCAGTGATTCCTGCCTTTGTTCTGGTGGTCTGCCCAGGCCTTTCATAATGTCTCTTCAGCCTCTGCCAGCTGCTCTGTTTACCCTCTTGTGCCTTCCAGTAATGCACAGCTGGACTTTTCAAGATTTTCATCATTTTCAGATGAAGCAGAGATCTCAGCTATGTGGCTTGGAGCTCCAGCACACAGCAGTATGGATATCCTGCCACTTGTGTAAATAGGCTTCCCAGGCAAGGTTTAAGTTACCCATTTATTTTGATGTTAGTTTGGGTGGATTTCAAAATGCCATTCTACAGAATCACAGAATGTTAGGAGTTGGAAGGGGACCTCAAAAGATCATCCAGTCCAACTCCCCTGACCTGATCATTGCTGGCCCATGGTCACCCTGCTGTCCACCAGGACCCCCAGGTTCCTTTCCCCTGTGCTGCTCCCCAACAGGTCAGTCCCCAACCTAGACTGCTCCATGGGGTTGTTCTTTCCCAGATGCAGACCCTCCACTTGCCCTTGTTGAATTTCATTAAATTTTTCCCCACCCGACTCTCCAGCCTGTCCAGATCTCTCTAAATGGCAGCACAGCCTCTGGAGTGTCAGCCACTCCTCCCAGTTTTGTGTTGCCAGCAAACTTGCTGACAGTGCCCTCTGTTCCCTCGTCCAGGACGTTGATGAGTATCTTGAATAGTCCTGGTCCCAGTACAGACCCCTGAGGGACTCCACAGAAGAGCGGAGATGAACCATCACCAGATGTAAAATTCATGAATTTGCTAAAACGCTCCAGTCAGAGATCACAGGTTGGCCTTTCCTGCACTGTAGCCCAGCTGAAGAGCAGAGACCTTACTCACAGATACACACACGCACAGCACGCCATCAGACAGGCACTATTTGTACTGAAGCAATGAACTTATCCATTCCTCTTTTCTAATATGAAAGTGGTTATCACTAGTCTAGGAAACTGCCATATGAATATTCACCTTCATACAATGCATTTGGCTAACCTTGGCATTTAGATTCAATAGGGCAAAGAAAAGCTACATAGAAAAAGGAAGCCACTAAGAAAATTAGACCTTGGCAAATGGCAATTCAAGATTACCGATATTTAATCAACCAGGAACCAAACATGCATCACCACTTCCACTGGGAATAGCCCAAGTAACCACCCGTACTGCAACCCCATGATCACCAACCTCAAAGGATCTCATGCTTAGACCTGCTTTAATCATGGACTGACTACATCTTTCACATCAAGAGCCTACACCTAATTTCAAGAATTTACTTAAGTAAAAATCTCTGTCATCCTCTTTTTTATTCCATTTCAAAATATCACCTTACTTTAAGTTTGATTTTGATTTCTACTTTATCAGGTACTTAACACAGTCAGAGTGAGCTCTGGAAAGAGCAAGGGGAGAAGCAGCCAAGAAATGCGGTGAACTGCAGTATGTAACTGTCTCAATTAACTGCGCACTACTACAACAAAATACAACAAAGCACCGAAACACATTCAAAAAATCAAGTGGGAGGCAGTGAATTTCCCTGCAGAATTCTCATGATAACCACTCTGTAGTGTGCTTCATTACCAACTTTAACAAACAGCATTTATCTGCAGATTTCAAAACACTTCATAAGAATTGAAAAATTCACTATTTAACTGATTTTTAAGATGACCTCTAGAAAGGTCTCAGATTTCTCAGATTCCCTTCCAACACCTAACTCATCAACTCCAGCTGAGAGCTACAGCACGGAGGAAATCTTCCAAGTCTGCCCGTTCTTCCTTGGGCTTTTATAGGTCATGAGGAGAAAATCAGCCTTAGAGTGGTCTGTGAGCAAACAACTCTGCTGCTCTTAAAATGGAATGAGGACTGATTTTAGACAGTGTCTGATAAATCAGAATAGAAGTGGCTTTAAGTTACATCATCAGAGTCCCTCCTCAAGACGTCAACTTCATACACTCCTAACAACATTTTTAAAAGCAGGAACGCTTTCTCATCTGTTTTGTGAAAAAGTCACAGATTCAAGACATAGCCTTCCAACAGCTTAATTACTCTCTTCTTCCACATAGCCACCTCTATTAGTAACTCCTATTTCAGGGCTATTTTTATTCCAAGACTGAGAAGAAAAAATCTTCTGATTTTTGCTACGTTATTTGTAAACAACTGATATGCCACAATGACAAGACCTCTTCATCCTTAAATTTAGGGCACAGTCACACAAGTGCTTTGGAAGAGGCAGCAGTTAAAGATCCTGCCTATCCAAGCTGCTCATGATAATCTTTGTGGGAGGCTACAGCCTCTGCGGCAAAGCTGTTCAAACAGACGGTGTGGCCAGCTCTTCCTGGAGCCAGGAGCCAGGGAATTATGTTCTGCTGCAGACACCTGACATAAACCCCCAGCTCTAGCAGGGAATGCTTTCTTCATCCACCCGAACTTAATTAAGACCTCTGAAAAACAGCAACACCTCCATTCTCAAAAATTACATTACCAATAACTCAGGAGAAATATCCTGCATGCCTAGGCCTTTTGTAAGACAGGACTGCAGTCAATTACCTTAATGCTGTTTTGAGACTAATACTGATTACAGCCTGCACTGTATTTTAAAGCCTTTGAATAAAAGATGAAATTACTAAGAAGGATGGAGTAGTACTGAGAAACATTTTTCTACAATATTAATTTCAAGCTGCTACAGTCACCCTGGAGGATAAATCCATCCAGAACAAAAGACCACAGATGGAAAAATATTATTTCCAAATTCCTGGAAAAGTAGCTGGCAAAGATAAATTTGGTCTTGTATTGAAGACTGATGTGCTTAAAACTTATGAAGCTGCCACACAAAACTGCCACGGATCCACGCTTAGGGGCAGGTTACGCTGCTGACGCATTCTACCAGTCTAGCAGTCTAGTTAGTCACTTTGCCAGAAATAAAGGAGCACTCCTGATGACAGAGTGCATTAGGTCTGCAATATTCAGTAACGTGTTACTTACCGTAACCTTTCACTATTTCAGATATATTAATCTTCCTAGTACTTAAATGTACTTACAGTGACTGCGTACTTTTATGATGTCTTAAAAATAAAAAAACCCCTTACTGCTTGCAGCCTTACAAGCAAGACTTGACTTCCTGTGAAGCCTGCAGAAAGCAGCACTCTCCTCCTCATTCACTACTGTAATGATTATCAGTTCCATTTACATCACTTTACGAAATGTTATTCTCAAAAACAAAAATGCCACCCTACTGTCTTATACCTGAAGGAGATGCCATTGACCAGCTGTCTGTGCCTACCGGTCTTGGATGAAAGAGGTGAAGATGCTGGAGACAGGTTGAGTGGGGCAATCAGGCTGCTGATGATTTCACTCAGTTGTGCACTCTGGAAAGAATTTAAAAAATGAAAGGTAGTCAGACTTTTATCCAGACTCAACAGCTCAAAGGTCTTGGGTTTTTGTTGTTTTCCTACGTAGGAATCCAGTAGCATACATCATGGAACAATCATCTTTCCTTTCTTCTTGTGAATAATCAAGAATGGCTTGGTTTTTCTTTCACAGTTATTATGTTCAACTATATAAAAATAAATCAACTGAAAGCCAGCACGACCCTGACCAACCAGCCAAGGACACTGTTTATACATTTGAATAAGTAGTACACAAAACACATTGGTGGCTTCAGTATTTTAACCAAAGGTTTTAAAAAATGCAAAAGAAACCAGAACACTTTACAGCCAATGCTCCAACAGCTGCAGCTCAGAGCTGCGATCTGGCCATTCAACAAGGAAAAAACCACCTGCTGTCTACATCAACTGTCGGACAGTTTGTTCACTCCAAGTATTTTTTTTCTTAAAGAATCCTCGTCATCGCTCACTGTAGTTTGACAAAGATGTTTTTACAACAGGAGGTGTGACTAGAGGAGGACTATCGCAACTACAGACAGAATAGCTGAAATTTTCTGCTGTCCTCCAAAATCGCAACCAACACCTGCACTTTCAGAGCCCCACCAAAACCTGGACTTCCAGAACTGCTCCAGAACAATTGCAGCTCGTTTTTAGGTCTAAGAATTACTCCTTAGAACGCCAGGACCTGTGGACTGACTCCAGGGAACAATTCACAACGGGTTTTTTGTTTTAACTGTCAAACCTTAAAGGCTATTCTGACAGTAAACATCGTTTTCTTAGAGGAAACTGTGCTGCACACAAAATGAAAATTAAATATATCTGAAATGGCATACTTTAAAATATATACTCATTATTTGGTAGGATTTTCATTTGGAACTAAGATTCTTTAAAACAAGAATTGCGAAAGGCTACCCAGTAAACTTTCTTCCCATTTTGAGGCACTACCGTTCATGTAGAAAGAAGCAGAAAAAGATATTTTCCATTTTATTACAACTCACGTCTTTTCTGTTCATGTTTACGTGATGCGGTCAGTTAAAAATCTCATGTCAGAATAAAATCCCCAGGGATATTAAAGCACAGAAACAGTCAATTACAAAAGGTCTGAACAAAGCAAACAAGACGCCAGTAAAATATTTAGCAGCTTGATTTAAAAATCTCAGCAGAGTTCAATCTGCAAGGAGAAAAGTCTCCACTGAATATAAAAGCACTGAAACAAAGGCAAGCTTCCAAAACACAAGGTCCATGTTTTTAAGAAGTTGCATAGCTATGAAAAGGACTTGAAAACAGTATTAGTAAAAACTGCAAGGCTCAGTCACTTTGTATTCTTTATGATTTCTGTTTGTTCACAAGTAAAACGATTTCTTTCTAACCAAGGAACACTCTAACATAGAACTGAAGAGTTCTGTGGGAATATCTGTGATGTAATTCAGCCTACAGCACCACCACTCCTGACACTGGACAAGCAGAAACTCAGACCCTCAAAGTTAAGGTCGATTTACAGAACTAACAGTCAAAAAGCAATCAAACCCCAGAGCTTTTTGTGGTGTAAAGGGAAGAAATCTGATCTAATCTGTGAATTAGTTAAATGAAGAACACCTTTACTGCCAAGTAATTTTCACATCATCAAAGTTCTTGGGCCTCTGTAGCTACTTAGGGACCAGGAATCACCCTACTATTACTTAGATTGTCAGATGTCTTACTGAAAAGTGCCTTTAATTCCCCAAGTAATCACTTAGAGGGGACATTCACCACATTCTAAAAATGCTCTTTGGTTTCCCTCCTGCGACTGCCAGCACTGTGCATACAAATGTCCTGTTTCATTGCTTCCTCACTCCTGTCTGCTGTGGATAAGATCTGTCAAACAGGGGAAGCATTTTAAGAGCAGGAAAGCATGACTATCAAATAAGAAACACTGGCACACAGATTCAGAAACAGGCATTGGTACCCAAAGCTGCTTTTAGCCATTTTAAAACAGGTGTGTATGACCAAGAATTCATGTACAGCAGCAGAGCAACAGGTTATTGCACCACACTGGCTCTGTCAGGCTTGTTCTACGCTAACTGCATGAATTAATTCTGAAAACTAATTTCCTGTAAATCCTTCAGCAATGTGATCCTACCACATTCTTTGTGTACTCTCTAGCAAAAGAAAACCCTGCTGAAGCCTACACTGCATTTCCTGGAATTAACCTTGGAAATGACTGTTTTGAACGCCATGAACCAAAACTGTGCTCACAGCTACGCCTACGCTGTGCCTCTGAAGTACCTACAATTCCTCAGCTCTGAACTGGAGTCCTGTCACTCCTGAAAAGGCAGACCAACTATTCTATTCTGTCAGGGCTTCTTTCTTCTTTTAATTTCAAGTGCAAGATGCCTCCATCTTCAGCTTTACCCTTTCATCTCACATAAGTATTTCCTGGAACAATCTGTGGCAACTTTACAGGGAACCTAACTCCAGAGGAGAGGCAGGTTTGTGGATAGCCATCAGAAGTAGTTATGTGGTCGCTTTGATAGAAACAAAGCGGTAACACAGACGCAGCAGAAAGGGAAGGTTAATTTGTAAACCTGGTGTACAATGCAGTCATTTAAACCCTTCAGTTCATCAGCACCCACTCTCAGAACTGCAAAATCTCCTCCCTTTTGGAAGTCAACTGCCCTGTTTCTGAAGTAAACCATCTGGCTCCACTGACCACTCCGTTCTTATTTTACTTTACCTGTTTTTCTATGTTTCGTAAAAGCAGGGTAGGACTGCTGGGTGACATTTCAAAGTCCTGCTCCGGCAAAGAATCCAGTCTCTCAATGGCAGCTTGCGAATTCCCTGTGGCGTTTAATAAAGCTTCTTGGTCTGTCAATTGTATTTGCTTCTTCAAAATGTCTTTTGGAAATGGGAATTCTTCTAAGATCACCATCCCCTAGACAACAGCAATTGAACACAGTTGGTTGACAACGGATTAACCCTCCGGAATAATTTTTAAGGGGCACTCAAACCTGGCACATCCCCCTTAAATCCTCCCAGTAACTCGTTGGAGCACTTAAAACTACATTTCAAATGCATTTAAAAGCTAAAATATAGAAACAGTAGGGACTTTCATTAATGAAAAGCTGTGCCATTTATGCTACTCCTCATAACAGCAATCACGCTATATATACACCACTGCTTAAACATCTGTGCCAAAATTCAAATCTGGAATTCATACTTATTAGAACAACTATATGATCATTTGCCTGCTGATTTAAGAAGAGGCTTTTCTGTAAAAAACAACCACCCTTAGATTTGAAGTTGGTTACGGTCTTTGCAGCCAACACATCTTGTGGAGGCACTTTAAAGTGCTCTATTTTTCTTATTCCCATCCATGTTCTATGCAAAACATCAAGGTTGATATTTCTTATGTAGCAGAGATGGACACAATTCAAAAGAAAAGCCTTTTACAGATTCATAACTGATTGTTTTAAGGTGAGCATTTTTACAGTTTGATAATCAGAGGTAACTTTCCTAAATATTCTCTCAATCTCGCTGCTTCTCAAGACAATCTGCACAAATGTGGTACCAGACATCACCTATTGTCTACACTAGTAAGATGTAACTTTGTATGATAGGGAAATAACAGAGTTTCATAAACAGAACTAGGAAAAGAAGACCCCCATTGTGCTATCCACATGACAGATCAGAAGAATAAAAGTGTCAACCACAGCCCCAGGTAACATCTCGGTTTAACAGTTTAGAGTGTTAACTCAACAGTAAGCAAAAATAACTTTGTAACAGTCAAGACCAGTTTGTCAAACAGTCCCTTAACTTGTCATCATCTTGAGCAAATAAATTTAATACTCAGAAACATAATAAAAATAAATTTAACACTATCAAACCTTTGCAGGCTTTTTCCAAAGACAAAGGGAAAAAACTTGCTCCTAAGTACTGACTGCTACCAAATACCAAGCAGATATTGCAAGAATGGGACCATTCAATTACACTGCCTCAAATTTTTCTTTCTAGTGAGAATATTCCCCTAAAAAGCAAGGGAAGATTGTCATCATGTGAATACAAGGAAGCCCTATCTTATTTATTTCAGCAAGACAGACTTCACCTAGGTTGTGGCTGTGGAAAATTAAGGATCCTGTAATTTTGCTCTCACCTTGACTCCTGCCTCGGCAGCAACTTGCCCTAAATCACGAAAGCAAGTCTCAGAGAGACTTCAAAGAGGAGACTAGGAGAAAACGTGAAATTTTCCTGTTCTCATTGTGTCTTTAATTTATTCCCTTGTTTGCATCATAAAATTCAAAGCTGAGAACAAAGATATTCTCTAAAAACAAACGTAGGTGCTTGAAAACTTGCTTCAGTGCCCAAAAGGGGCACAGAGATTCTGAATTTCCATCAAGTCACACTAGATTTTCCACATTAATTTTCAGGTAGTAACCCATCATCTGTGCTTTGACATTTACAGCAGATGGAAACAACTCCAGACAGCATCACACGAGGATCTGCAGACCAAGAGCAGTTACAACACAGGCAGTCCCTTCGAGGAAATTCAAGTGTAGATCTAATCTTCATGTGCCACAAAAGGAGGACAAGCTAGCTCAATAGCTTTGGACTATTTTAGAATTTATAATCTTTAGATTCTTTTAGTAAAACAATCATAGGTCATGACGACAGAGAGAGCAACAAAAAATAACCCACAGAAGTCTAAAACACAAATTCTGAAATCGGAGGAGCAGGAAGACACGCAGGGAAAGTGGTGAAAAGGGGGAACCCCTCCCCACACCTTCCACTGGATTTTGTTTGAAGTTGCAGAATCCTGTCAACAAGTACAGTAAGACGCAAGCAGAAAAGGAAGGAGAAGATTGTCAGGCTGTATGAAAAGGGAGAGATGGAATAGGCACAGAAGAAACAAGGAAGAGTAAAGAATGATAAGACTAATACGGAATATATAGGAATTGTAAGTCAAATGAGTTACAACCAGTAGGCTCTCTCAATGATCTCTCTCCTCCCCCTCTCCCCCTTAACTGGAATTGTTTTGTTTTGCAGACACACATTTTTTTAAATGGAAGGACTCTCAAGAGATCCAGAGATGCTGCTTCTGTGTGCGTAGAGATGGAGAAGACACAATGCAATAGGCCAGGAAACTGCCCACAAGTTAACCATCCTCCTTCCTATTGCGTTACAGTGTTAGAGGAGTGGCTTTTTGCTTGGAATAACTGTTCACTGGCTATGAATCACACTTTTTTCCACTCTAAACACACGAAAAAGACTCAGAAACCATTGAACACAGCACACAAATTCTAAGGATATTGTGTAACTACTTTGCAGCCACTAAATGAAAACTAAGAGCTCTTCTATCAGCCCACGTGTCCTTCCATAGCTGCTGCACTGGTATACAACAAACGTGTACACAAAAAAAATCACAGCCGAAGAAAATACGTGTCCACCTTAACTATGGGACATGATGCCAAATACTGAATACCACAGCTGGTGAAAGGGGCATGAAGCCTGCAAAAAGGAATGTCACGAAAGATCTCCACCAGGACGATGACGAGGCTCCAAGCCAACGTACCACCTAACGCGAAGAAAATGCATGACTAAAAGAATGTTCTTTCTCTCATTTCTCTGTTATTTAGTTCTCTGTCTTCTGCAGCTCATGAGACCTAAGCTAAAGGGTCATAGCTTTTGGGTGTAACAGTGTGCCTGGTATTTAGGACAACACTAAAACATGGGCATTCTCACCATTCACCAAAATACAGTATCTCCTTTCACTTCTGGGAGTGCAGAGACAGGAGAGACCCCCAGACAAAAGCTCTTGAATTACTTTTTAAAGGAAAACCTGACTGGGAGCAGGGAGACAAAGTTGGATATGAAAAGAAGGGCTTTGAGGGCGAAAGGAGAAGAGGGGACAATTTTTCTTTATGTCATCAGAGGAAATGTTTTCTGGGGTGATTTCCCCTCTCCTTTTAAACTTCAAGTCTCACATTCAACCACACAAAGTCTAAAGCATCTGCTGGCTCCTCTCCGCCTGTGCTTATCTGACTCCAGCACAGATCATCAGTGAAGAGTCAAAGAGCCCTTCTCTAGAACCCCTCACTATCACACCACCAGAATTACCACAGGTTTTGGCTTCTTGCACATGAGAATGTCCTGGGGAACCCATTAAATTGATAGATAGATTATTAATGTTTTAGGAATGTGACTTTCCCACTGTCTAGCCAGTTTGATTTACAAAAACTAGTACATGAGTTACACACGTTGGAATTTTAGTAATAATTAATCCTTGACCTGTTCAAAGTGCTGTACAAACATTAACCAGCTAACCCTCAGAATAAACATGCACTGTAAGTAACAAAAAAACCCACCCTGATACCCCACAACACAAAAATTAATAACCAACCACCCCACCTGAAAACCAAATCTTGCCTCTTCTGTAAAGGGAAAAACTAGGGTGAAAAATGCAGTACCTCATTCTGGGCCCACTAACAAAGCCACTATCACAGATAGGGAGCCAAGAGTTCCCGTCTACCAGTCCTGCACTGGTGCCTCCAGGGTACAATACTTTTTAGCTCCCGATGTCTTTCTCATTAACCTTTGCATGTGATAGCCTGCGTAGATACAAGAACTCGAGGGTAAAACAACCACCACCACCACCACCACCACCAAGAAGGACCCAAATGAATATTACAAGAAACACTGTCAAAAGATTATTTGAAAAGCCCACTTAGGAGCTTACAGACAATACCTTGGTGGCACGTATCTGCCTGTGAAGGTCAGTTAGTTGTTGGATTTTGTATTCTAGTTCTGAAATCTGGGCTTGAAGCCATGTCCAACGGCTGCCAATTCTAGCTCTGTCTGCAAGCCACTTCCATTCAGAAGTATAGCTGCTGTGAAGACAAAATGCTGGTTAGTCCAAAAATAAAGATAACCACATTTGCACAAGAACATTTTTGACAGCTGCTCTGCCTCACGTTGCAAGCATCTCAGTTGCTTTCAGGCGATACCCGATTATACCCATCCAGTTTCACATCAGCTTATTTCTGTACCTACAGAACTTGCCCAAACCAGCATGATCAACGCTCACTGGCTATTCCCAGGCTAAGCCAGTTTCCTGTTCTGTAGTATAAAACCTAGAGCTGGAGAAACTACCAAACTGTATCAGTGAATGTAGATTACAGATTTGTAAAGAATTCCAGGAACTCCACCAGCAAGAATCCAAATTCCTACACCTCACTTCCTCCCACAAGCTTTCACAAATACCCTTGCTAACAACTGGAATGTAATAAAACATCATCTAGCAATGACCAGCGAGATATCAAGTCACTGCCCAAAAAAACAGCCAAGCAGTTTAGATTTCTTTTATCCGAGCTATTTTATAAATATAGCTGTGCCAGTATAGTATAGGTAGGTCACTCTTACTGCTGTTTGCTAATAGGTAAATAGGTATTTTGTGACACAACAGAGATGCCTCTTGGTACTCGAGACTGTCACTAGCTTAACTTTATGATGCTAAATTCATCACTGGTATCAGCAAACTCTTCTCAGTCTACATATTAAAGAAGTTAATGACATAATGGTGCCGCTCAATAAATAATTTTAACATCCAGTAAGTTTAAGCAACAGAGACATCACAATGCAGTATTTTAGTACGCAACTTCCACTAGTGTCCTACCATCAACTTGAGCTCATTTATTCAAAGAAAACGACTGATGTTTTTTCTCACTAAAGTTGTCAAGTAGTTTGCCACAGCTAACTTAAAAGAACTGTAAAAACAAAGTTTTTAGAAAACTACTGGATCTGAATCCCGGATGACGCTGCATCTCAATGTTGCACAGGCAGAATACGTGATCTCCTGCTCCCCAGGCAATGAAGAGTGCTGAAGTACCACAAAAGACACAAGAAAAAGCAGATGCCCTTGAACTGGCATAGGAACATCACACAGGGGAAATCGTTTCATGCAGAATTTCGTGTCAACTACCTCAGCAACAAAAGAAAGGTAATACAGCACTCTGCAGAAGATACTCGATATTTCCTGGCATGAGCAGAGTATCACCAAATTTGAGAATCCCAATTATTTTCTGGACAAAGATTATAACACATAATATAACTCAATATCTCAGAACTTTCAGTATACTTCAGCTAGTAAGAATAGGCAGAGTCTGGGATAGATTAACATACATAATTTTCCCCTTTTTTAACATAAATTATCTGCCCACATAATTTACAACCAGCTTAAACTCTCTCCTACAAAGAAAAATGAACAGATGAAATGAGACAGGGGATTGAAACGTCCAGTTTAAATCCAGATTCTGTGTGCAAGCAAATAAAGTGGATCACCATCAAAAAGAAACTCGAAGAACTCTGTAAATATATACAATAATAAATTGTTTACATTTTATATACACTATTAGTGATTTTTTCATAGGAAAAAAGGCACATGAAGTCATTTTGTGAATACTCATTTTTCTGACAACCCCTTTTTATTTCTCTTTGCCATTATCACCAGCACATAGTGAACAGCCCTGGTGACTTATGCTTTAACCAGGTCTTCTTGCCAAGAACCTCTCTGGAATTGACAGCTTTTGCACGATTGTGCTTCTGGAAGACATAAAATACAGTTGGCAGGAAAAGGGAGGGATCCAAATTCCTACTTGGTCCAAGTCAGAGTTCACTTAAATGCTGTGTTCACACAAGTGTGAGGGTTGCAATAGCCAGGATTTGGCTCAGGACCCCGGGATGGCAAAAAGCTAGTCCTAAGAAAGAGCTGCTTAATGAGGCCTTAACAAACCCCTTAGTTAATAATTGTAACAAAAAAAAGTTAAATAGAAATAAGGAGATAACCAAGAAAAAGCCAACAGGAGTGTTGAGGTGCTTATCTCTATTCCTTTCCGAAAAGACAAACGAACAAAATTCCACAAACCAGGACATGATACAAGAAAGCCCAGGTGAACGAAAATAAATCACCCTGACAGAACTGCCTCCCAACCAATGCAAGAATTTGCAGAGAAAGCTGAGCTGCCCTCAAGCAGACGAAGGAGGAGAGAGGAGCAAATGAGAAACACAAAGAGTGCCCACAAGCTGGGAAATAAGGAGTGGAATGGAAAGGACCAGAGCTGCTCTTATGTCACATACACTGCATGAAATCAGCAGGGCAGTAAGGGAACCCATCATCAATACCAAACCATAGCAGGTAACAGAAGAACAGTTCACTACTGTGACCTTAAGACAAATAAAGGATATCATCTGCATATTACTTTCTCACTTACATTAAAAAAATTCCTCTGCCAAGTTACATCACAAGTTATTTTTCAAACACTTGTTTTCAGTTTTTTTCTTAAACACAATACAAAATCTTGAATTAATTGCATTAGCTGTTAAATATATTATGTATATTTTTGCTTCATTCTAAAATACTGTGCAAGTATTTCTTAAGGCTTTAAAGTGTACTGTATAATTAAACTAACAGGTAATTACACTGTAACAAAGATGTCCTTAGGCTCTTCTGTGAGGAAGAGTTTCCACAAACTAAGCACAAATGTTTTAATTCCATGCCAAAGGAAGCAATTTTAGCTCCTCTCCCCTGCCAACCCAGGCTGTCCACGCCTACCACCTGCACAAGCACTTGGGCAGCTCCAGAGTTACACAGACTGGAGAGTTCACACAGAATCACAGAATCGCTCGGTTGGAAAAGCCCTCTGAGATCATCACGTCCAACCGTTCCTGTCTACCCCCTAAACCATATCCCTAAGTACCTCGTCTACCCGCTCTTTAAATACATCCAGGGATGGTGACTCCACCACCTCCCTGGGCAGCCTGTGCCAGCTTCTGACGACCCTCTCAGTAAAGAACTTCCTCCTTCTCTCTGACCTGAACCTCCCTTGGCACAGCTTGGTGCCGTTTCCCCTTGTTCTATCCCCCATCACCTGGGAGCAGAGACCAGCACCCACCTCTCCACAAGCTCCCTTGAGGCAGTTGTAGGTGGTGATGAGGTCTCCCCTCAGCCTTCTCTTCTCCAGGCTAAACACCAGTGCCTCACCAGTGCCAAGTACAGGGGTTGGTTCATGGTTCATTTTAACTTCAGAAGCACGTTTAAGTCTAGATCCCTTTCCCAGTTGTGATGCCTTCAGACTGACAGACACACACCTCTGCACTGCCACAAGGGAAGGGGCAAGAAGCTCAGGGCAAGGCTGCAAGCGCCACCTCACATTTAAGGGACAGGAGGTGAGAGCACTGCTGAATTCTGCTCCCACCTCTGTCACTCGCATTTGTTTGATCTTGCATTATTTGTTTACAATCTTTGCTTCTAAGTCTATTTCTCTGCAAACTGTTTTAGCACACCTTGTAACTCCTCAGAGGAAGCCATCCTCACACTGCTGAAGTGAGCTGTTTGCACGCAAAGCAGTGTGGTCACTCAAGTGACAAACGATAACCTGCTCTTGCAATTAAAAAAAAGACTAACACCCATGTTCCTGGGTTATTAGAGAGTACAGTGTAACATCCATTCTGTAAGAAAAGCTGTTTCAAGGTAGCACCAGGGAATTAATTCTGTAAATCCAGAGGAGTAAAAAGAACAAACCAAGACAAAACACCACTAAGGGTTACAAAAATAACCAGGCCTGTTACTGAAGGAGGAAGTCAGAGCAAGTGCTAAAGTAGAAGCTCCTGCTCTGTTTCTCTGTTGGGAATGAGACAAGGAAAATAAAGTTTGTGTCTGTCCTGCCTCCTGCGTGCTCCTTTTGCAAGGCGTCTTTACTTGGGTTCCGTGCTTTCGACTGTAACAACGTGCATCCTCCACAGGAATATCAACTTCATTCTTCTGCTAGCAACTCAATATAAACCACGTTACATTTGCAAAAGCTATTAATGTTCAGTACAGTGAAATATTAAACTTGCTTCTCTTGCAATGACTCTCAATCTGCAGATGATCTGCACTCATCCAGGATTATCAGAACTGGGAGAGAACAGAGCAATTCTGACTTTATATGAATAAAACACCTCAAATAGATTTCCCCAGAAACCACGCTGGAACTGCATGACGGGCTAAATCTGTTTCTGTGTGAGATACCAGCTTGCATTTCCCCTGTTTTGACTGAACCGCAGGAGACAGTCAAAGTATGACCAGAAATAGAACTGAGAACGCAACAGGACTATGAGAAGTACTCCCAGTGCCTCCGTTACATTGTGGGTAAGATTTATGTTTTCCCAATAGCTAAGATCAGCTTGTCCCAAAAAAACCCCAGGCAACCTAACTGAGTGCAAAGGGGAACTGCTAAACAAGATTAAACTGCTGTGCTGGACACACACTGGTTTTGGGGTCTTATGCATGGGGGTTTTTTTGTTTACAGGAGAGGATAAGAGGCAGAATTTAAAACTTTTAGGCATATTTGTTTTTATAAGCAAATAAATAACGGAGAAACACAGTGGTGTTTAAAATGAACAAAACATACAAAACCTGGGACTGATGGTAAGTATCCAGGAAAGTTGATTCAAACCAGAGTGGTGAGCACAGGAAAGACTATTTGAGAGCATGCAGCCCTGTGCCCAAGGCAAGATTCTCCACATGCACCTTATCTTCTGAAAATTAAAAAGAAACTGAGGCCTTCCAGCCTTATGACTCCCAAGGAGAAATGGTAACGTGCTCCTACCACGACAATGACAGGATGTTTCCTCTTGAACAGGAAAGCAGAATTCTTGCAACGGACTCACACTGAAAGTCCAAAACATAGGTTTGCCAACCCAAAACACAGTCTCCTTCCAGATGGTTTTTTTCAAAGAACACCAACGTTTTCAAGTTACAACATTCTAAAACACAAACAAACCAGAAAGCAAGGCACCCACATAGTATGGGCAGGAAAAGCCTCTCCAACTCCAAAATTCTGCATTAAAC